AAAACACTGTGTTGCACTTTAGTGTGGTAGTAGGGAATTGCAGTTATATGCACCATAATTGCAATATGGTCAGTAGTTATGCGGCACCAGAGGCTTTAGGAAAAGACAGCTAACAGTAAAGTGGCATCTTATAGAAAAAAACCAGACATAATTACTATCCATTTCTTCTTCTTCTCAGGTATGAGGGGGAGGTCTCTAGCCTGTGAAGCACGAGAAACCTGAAATAAAACCTCCATTTCCTTTTTGTTTTTCTTGTTCCGATGCTCATCTCTCAGAAGTCTTCAGTGCAAATTCTCACTTCTTTTACATGAAAGCCAATTACTTTGAGACATCAAAATCTGAGGGAAAGGGAAATGAGAGAGGGGCCAAAGGCTGCAGCTCTGTTTGAGCTGAGCTCTGTGCCAGGTCTGGCAGCTGGCTGGGCAATGCAGGTTTCCTGTCTGTCACTGCTTCAGCCTCTTCCATTCACCACTGAAGCAAACACAAAACCCTTGGTGCCAAGCTCATGGTCAAGGATGCAAAAGCCAACAGATCCTCTTGATGTGTATCTTCTGCTGATACTGCTGCCATATGACCATAACACAGGGTTGTACCCTGTGCACTCCAGGTCTTAACCTGCCAGAAATGTTTGAAATCATTTTTACACATACACATCTGTACTTTATTATTTCTGAGCATACAAGGCAGGTAACAGATGTTTGATAGCAGTCAGATAATAGATCATTTGGAAAGAATATCAGTTTAAAATGCTTATAGTGCATGAAGGCCTTGAGCAGTTTGTCCCAGAAATGGGAAATCAGGCAGAGACTGATACCAGAATGTGTTCTCCTGGAAAGATAAGACATTTTTCAGTGTGCCAACTGCCTACTTCAGAATTTCAGTAACATTAATTTATTGGGCTTGTGGTACTATTTTGTGATACTAATAATTGCTCTTACAGAATACACCTGGAGAGATTGAAGAGCCTAAATAATATTTTGAGGATGTGAGTGTGTATATGTGATGAGTTTGGGTTTTATTTTATAGGGTGAATCCTGCATTTATGTCTCATGCCCATCTTCTGTTACAAACTCATATTATTACTTTTGCTGGAGTCTGAGTGTACAGAGGGATTAACAGCCATCAGTAACTGAACAATGTCACAGAAAAAAGAAAACTGACATATGTGTGCACACAGTATATGTGTGCTTCTGTAGATATATTAAAAGTGAGAAAAGGTGGGAAACTAGAATTACAGTTATTGAATAAGGATATACATATGCATAATAGTAACTGGGTAATACTAAGGTTCATACAAATAGAAGACTGTAAAAGAAGAAATAAAATTTAATATTAAAGTCATGTAAAATGAAACAAATGTTTTTTGCATTCAAGGACCAAAAACTTGCAGGCCTACTAGAAAGAAAATAAATTGTAAGATATGAATAGGATCAGCAACTACTCACCATAGCTATTAGAATACTTTTAAGTCCAGAGGAGTTGCTTTTACAAAGAGTTAAATTCACTGACATGTGAGAATCATTATGGAATTGAAGTGAGAAAAGTAACTGCGAAAGTAATATGGTAAATGTGCTAAAAACAGGGGGAAATGTATAGTACTAAGTGCTCTACTGAAGGCATGTTATTTTTGTGCTGTATTCCTTCATCCCCAAACTTACACTGTAACCAAGCATCTGCAGAGAATTTTTAGGCCTATACACAGAACTGGTTTTATAATGAAGCAATCTTGGGACTCAAAAGTAATCACTGGCATACCTGAACCACCTTCTTTGCATGCTAAGATCTTGTGGGAAAGGACAACAGATCTTCAGTGACCAGGTGGCCTAAATTCTGAGTAATTTATTGTCATTAGTATGTCCAAGAACTGTACTGCATTTACACACTGTATCGCCAGATGGAGTTTAGGATCATAGATGGACCCTTTAGGATCATGCACTGGTCAATGACAAGGGCATATTGGCTCCAGAATTATCTCCTATTCAGTTTATCTTGGACTATTTAAGAGTTTATCCCCATAACATAGCTAAAGGAACTGTTGCACTGGAAGCAGTGGAACTGTGCAGTGTCAGCTACAGAAGAATGCAGGAATGAATGCCCACGAAGCAGCACAGTGTAAAATCTCTGCTGTTTCTGGTGCTTGAAACAAACTCGGTTTGAGCTACCATCTCTGCACTAGGCTGCAAAGAGGCTGTTGGAAATGAAGGAGAAAGCAGGGAAAAAAATCCCCTTAGGAAAGGATGGGCAGAAGTGTGAATAAACCCACATGAATTTGAGTCTGTGTTCAAGGACCAGGATCTTCAGTCTTGGATACTTTAATCTTCAGCTCCAGCTGCAGCTCACCCCCACTGCAGGAAGTGCCTACTTTCCAAAACTTTGTGTCAGTCCAGTAATGTCACAATTTACACAGCTTAGAATGTCCTATGGAATTGGATGTGAAAGGAAACCTTTACTGCCCATGACGTCTGCTCAGTGCTGTCCAGGTTCACAGTCACACATTTATACTCTATGAACATTTGGATGCTCTAAAGCAACCAGTAAAGCATATCTCAACATACTTTTTAGTGAGTTACTACCCATTACCTTTAGTATTTTGGGATGGTAACAATTTCTAAAGGAAAATCATCTGATCCCATCATTTCAGTTCCCTTAGCAGATTTATCATGATTTGTAGTTTTTGTTGTTTTAAATTTTTCAATGAAAAGAATGTGTAAGGATGAGTTAATTGGGTTAAAATGGCTGAACTTTTATGAAAGACAAACAGGAAGCAAAGTTTTAAAATACATCCACCCAGCAGATCTTTGCCCTGGAATAGGGCAGTCTTTACATCCAAGGACATTCCTTGGGATCTATTTTGACCCTTAGGTTTCCTCAACTTGGCACATTTGTTTTGCAGAGGTAGCCAGGGAATGTTTAAAGGTACTGAATGCATCAGGTGTGATTTGGTATAAAAGGAAAAGGCATAGCAGTGAGAATAGGGAAGGAGAGATAGACTGCTCTCCTGTTTGTTTTACATGATGCTGCGTGGCACTACAGATAGCTCACTTAAACACAGCTATGCCATTTTTCCTTGGGAAGATTTTCATCTGCCTTTGGAAGCAGGTGAACTTGGAGGATGTGATGGGGTGCAAATAGTGATTTCTTCAGGGGATTTTCAAACAAGAACTAGATTAGAGTGAGTAACAGCAGCTATCTACTCACGTCTGAGCACGAGCATTTTGCATTGCTGAACCAAGGAAAACATTTCCAATAGATGTATCTGTCCATTGCACTTTAGTCAGTGTGGAGCAGAGCTATTTTCTCTCAGTCTGGAAATGCAGTTTGGATTCATAAAGAACTGGATTCACTTTTGTTCCCAGTTTCCTAACATAAATTTAGGAGGTGCCAAAGTAGTACGTACTACATCTCTGGGGATAATTTTGTCAGGAGAAATGAAATAAAACATTATTCAGAGCATCCAAGTAACTGCTTAATTAATGACTTGATGAGCTGCTGCAGTAACTATTAAATATGCGGCTCTGTTAAATACTCATGCCCTTTTATGTTTCTGAAAACCTCAAGCTAGATGAGAATCTTAAGCGAAACTCAAAAAGACAATGAAAGAAATCTTTGCCTGGTCTAAGGTAGTAGCACTGGTGTTACACTATCTTCTCTGTTTTTAATGGGGACTAATATTTGAGAAGATACATCACTGGTAGGAGGAAAGTGTACTGATTTCCCCATGTGTACTCCCATCCTCAGAGCAGAAAAGTACGAGTTGCCCAGAATCTCACTTGTTCTTTCATTTCTAGCTTTACAGAACAGGAATGCATCTAGCTGAGAATGCCACCAAAAATTTGCAATTAGTAGGGCAAACAGAAAAGTATTATTATGAAATTGTCCACAAGTACAAAAGGCACAACAATGTTTCCCAATCTTTGTACCAGGAAATGAGAAATAATATTACAGAAAGTGGATTGTACTTTATAAAATGTTAACTACCATCACTTGGAAATACTGCAGTTCTGATAAGTCAATTCAGAAAATATGTATAATGAGATTTGAATATATAGAAAGGAGTTTAGTGAGTAATCTCAATGCATTGCTAAGAGGAATAAATGACCTGAAATACAAATCAGTTTTTCTTAACAAAAATTTAAAGATCCATAAGTTATCTCTCCAACACAGCAAATGTGAAAACAATAACAAAGAAACATTTTTCAGGGGAGACTCAGAGCATGCTCTGAGAAACAGTCCATCAATGCATGTGTGTAGGAAACTGCATCTCCCCTTTGCTGTATGGACACTACAGCTGTCTTATTCCATTATTATCAGGAATACAAAGGTAAAGTTTCTCCCTGACCTTTTTTCTTTGACAGTCACAAAGCTTTATTTTGCTTCAAGAAATCAGAAAAAAACTGAGCACTTTGAAACTATGTTCTTGCCAGACCTCTAGAAATGCACAGATGGCAAAGTAAATAGTCTCATTAGTTAAAATCAGCAGGAACAAAGCATCTCAGAGCTGGTTGTGAGAAAAGCTATTAAAAACAGGATCTGAAATGATTTCTGAAGAGGAGGCAAATGCCTCTGCCATCTGCAGAAATACAGAGAAGAGGGAAATTTGAAATCCTCTCCCTTTACACACAATCTCTGCAACTCCTTATCAGTATATATTAAATGACTGGCTGAGAGCCAGACTTTTTTCACAGTGGGAAGCAAAACTCTGAGTTGCTGTTACAGAACATGTATTGAAAGATGGAGCACAGAAAGCAGCAGAAGTCAAACAGAGAGAGGAAATGTTTGCTATAAAAGAAAGCAGAAGAATAAAAATAATGGAAGAGTGAAGGAAAAAGACCAAAGACCAGGAGAAAAAGTGTGTTAGGGAGAGATCCTAAAGAAGCAGAGGAGCACAGTGAATTAACTATTGAGGTCTTTGCCTCTCATCACTATGGTATCCCTGCATTTTTATTTTGGCAGAGACTCTGATCTCAATCTCTTGCCCCTAAACTTTTCTCTTTTCTCACCTGTCCACAGCGATGGCTGTCATGGAGTAGATGCTGGCGAAGACAGCTGTGATTGGGAAGAAGTTGTGGAAGCGGCAGTAAGCCTCTCCAAAATACCACTCGCTGTGCAGAGCATAGATGAAGTTGATGAGAGTATTGAAAGCAGCCATGGAGGCATCAGAGAAGGCCAGATTCACCAGGAAGTAATTTGTCACCGTCCTCATGCGCTTGTGAGCCAGGATAATCCAGATGACAATAAGATTTCCAAAAACGGCCACTGCCACCACACCACCGTACGCCAGAGACCACAGGGCAATGCGCCAAGAAGGTTGCACGAACTGATTGGAGAAGTTGCCTGCTGAGGAGGCTACAGGGGCAGAAGCATTTGCAGCTGGTGCTTCCAGAGCCTGTCCCCAGGGATTTCCTGCTTCAGCAAGGCTTACATTCCACCTGCTGCTTATGGTCATGTTCCACTTGGCTGTGGGGACCGAAGTCATCTTGGGTGTTTCTTTCCTCTCTTCCAGGAATGATGTACCTTTCCCACCTCCCTCTCCCAACCCTCCAAAACCCCCACCAACAGATAAGAAGAGGGAAGGAAGAAAAGGGGAAGTAAGGTAGTACAGCAGGTACTGGAAAGGAGAGCTCTGTCGCAAAAAATCTTTGGCTATGCTGTTCCAACTGTTAGAAATGCTGTGACAGACACATCAGGAGAGCTACCTTGGAGTAGAACAGCATCCTGTTTCTCCTCTGTACAGCCTCTTGTTTTTGATTTTGCTTAAGGAGAAGGGCACTGGGAGCCAAGTCACATTTTATAGGCTTGTGAGTTCCCAGCGTCACAAAGGGAGTGGAGCGATAAGCTCCATCGGCTGGTAAGCTAACAGCTCTTTCCCTCTGCCCTCCCTCCCCTTGTATGTCATTCGTTGCCAGCAGCAGGCACTTTCAGGAGCTGTGGAAAGCATTGGAAGGAAAATGAATTCTCATCTCATTAATGTTGAGAGATTTGTTTTGTATTGTCTTTCTTTAAGTTCCATTATTGTGCATCCTTTTTTAAATAGTCTTTTTGCCTTGTGTTTGCAGGGCTAATCAGCTGGTTTAGTTGAAATTCCCAGGACTGAGGCTGTCTTTTTTATTAAAGCTCTTTCCAGATGAATGTATTCCAGATCAATTCAGAGCTGCTTTTTTGCTGCTCTCTTTTTATTTAGTACACACTTTCCTTGATCTACAGATTTAGAATAGTGACTCTTTTGGACAAACAAATACATTCTGCTGTTCTCTAATTTCACTTTTAATTTTGTAATAGGTAATTGATATCAAGAAATATTTATAAGCTATTTGCATGCTCAGCAGTTACTGATTTTTACTGAAACAGTATGCAGCCCTAAACATAGGTGTCACTAGTTATGGGTAACATATTAGGGGTTTGTTTTCTTTGTGTCTTTGAGAAAAAAAAAATTAGTTATTTTTCTTGATTGGCATTTACTTCCTGCTTAGGTCTATTATTATTTTGAGCAACCAATATTTTAATATGCAGTGGTTTTTATAATAGTATAAAAGGGTAAATGAGGAAATTTAACACCCAATGTTTTCAGATCCAAAATCAGTTTTCTTTTAATATGGTAACAAGAGCTGGCATTAGGAATGCATGTTTTATGCAAGGATTGATTGCAAGGGACTTGAACTAACAAACCTTTGTTATTCAATAGGCTGCAGTCTTAAGGGAGAAAATTTGTTTTAATGCCAATCTTTCATGTTTCAACAATTTAGAGCTACTACTTGTCATCAGCAGAGGTTTCAATTGTATCACAGCAGTGGGAGCTATTCAATATCCCTATCAGCAATGACACATTCAATACTTTTTTAAACAAAAGCTTCAAACAAAAATCAAATACTGCTATGTACCACCTCCTCCCTGATGTATTTACCCAGTGGAAAAAGTGGCTGCACTTCGTCAGGTCTTCACTGTAGTTTTAATTTGAATGAATGTAATTGTGATTGTTTCTATATGAGCTTTCACCAACTTAGCCCAACCTGAGCAGCTGCCCACATCAGGCTTAGAAGTTTTGCAGAAAGCCACAGAAGCTCTGCTGTAAATCACATGGTGCTACAGCATGTCTAGAACCCACCCGTGCACTGCAGGTGCTTGTAACAGGAAAGTCACTGCAGTTAATTTCACAGTTCCATTTTGAATTCTGAATCTTCTATCTGCCTCTTCTTTCTCTCCCTGGAGGCAAGCCTGAAGAAAGGCGTGGTAGAAAATTTCTGTGAGTTTGAGAGATGAAAAATTTTAAATGGAGGTTCCAAAGAGTGAGGAACAATGGACAGATTAGTTATAGCAGAGAGCTGGACACTCAGCTCTTAATTCCAGCAGCTTCACTCAAGATTTTCACATGGTTGTAAACCAGAGAGTACAAACCCAGCCCTGTGCCCTGTACCATTCCACCTTTATGCCCAAATTAGGAACTCCAGACTTTATCCTTTTACTAAGCTGATGTGTTTTTCACGTTTGTACACCAGTTGCACAAGTGTCCCACATACTTCTATTTTTTCCATCCATCTCTCCCAACCTCAGCTCTATTATTCCTTTTCCTTCATTTCAACAGAGACACAGGCGCCTTATTTCTAGCACACAGTACTGACAAGCGTGCAGTAGAGTGTAAACATACAGGAACAGAGTCCTGTAGAGCACTGTGGTATGGGAAGATAAAGGATCTGTGTTTGAACCACTTGCTGTAGTTCATGGAACCCCATTCTGGTCATGTGTGTAAATTCTGTCTCAGGTTTCCATGAAAAATGTGCAATATCCAGTAGTGCTGCAAACTAGGGACTGAATTTTGACTTTGAAAGCAGAAGTCTAATTTCTTGTTCTGGAGAGAAGCTTGTTCTAGCTTTGCTGTAAAAAATTGCTTGCCATTGCACTCCAGGTGCTCAGGAGAGACCATTCCCATGTCTTTCCGTAATCATATATGGTTCCCCGAAGGGATTCTGTTCTCAGTGCATTCCTAATCACAATGTGAGAAGACAGTACAAGGCAATATCTTCTTCTAGCAAATGTAAAGGCAAACTGAGTCCTTGAGACTTACTTTGAACACAAATCAGGAAGCTTTTTGTGGTCTGTGTTTGTGAAATGTCAGCCAGGCCACCAACACAGGAGGGTCAGCTTTGCAGTGTAGAAATCAAAGTGTCATTGATTCTGTCTTCCTCTTTAGAGGTACACTGAAGAAATAAGCCCTCCCTGTAAGGAAATTTTTATACGCTATACTCTTCCCCATCCCCTCTCCCCCATAAATGAGAAGAAAAACTGTGGGGTACCATTAGCATAAAAGACAATATAGATTTTTTAATTAGTCTTTTGCTGAGTAAGATGCATGTTATCAGCCTTCAGCATGTATCTGAAACTGGCAGAAGAGGTGGCTGAATAGCTGGAGTTGTTTTGTTTTGAGAAGTGGAAAAACTGAACAGCACAGGACAAATGTTGGGCAGCTGCATCAGTCTCCCATGGGGAATATTTATGACTTCTTTTGGAGAGGACTAAAAATTTGCTAGAATATTTTTTCTGTGTTCTGGCTTTCATTCTTACTGAAACCACTGAGAGGTCGTTTGGTACAATCACCTAGAGCAAAATCATATTCTCCTACATCTGAAGGGCTACAGCAAAAAACCAGGGTGATATGCCTTGCTAACATTTTACTTAACTAAATATTAGAAGATGTTAGGCAGCCAGTCATAAATTAGATCTTATCTATAGAGGCAATTCACATATATAGTGATTCTAGCTGTACTTCTCCATCAAAATTTGTATTGGTTCCACATGTATTGATTAAAGTTTAGTCAGCTGGAGGTCATCAGCATTAAGTTTCTCAAAAAAGTTCCACAGCAACTTTGGTGAAAACATTTGTATTCATAATTTCTGAGTAGCATAATCTGCCTGACTGGGATGCACCTTATGCAAAGGAGTAGTACAAAAGACAAGGATCTGTGTTTTTTCTCAGTCTCTCATAGACAATGGAGGGTAACTGTGCTGGTGTTTTCTTCCAGAACTGTAACAGGTATGTGATTTTTTATGTTAACTTTTGGCCATTCCAGTTTATGCATATTTGCAGCGGGAATGCTTAATTTTCCAGTCTGTAAGGTTACTCAATTTTAGAATTACTTTCTTTAGGCCTTCTACTATCTGCTCTTTCCTGATGGTCATTTGCTCCTTTGCTTTTCCACGGACTGCTGCTTTGTGCTTGTGTAAAAAGCATGTTGTACTTTGAAACTGTGGTTAAATGTGTCACTATTAGCAGCTCCCCATTCCTAGCTTCTCAGAAACACTAGGAAATCTAAAAGAAATTTCCAAAGGGTGAAGATAAAAGTAGCTGTGATTGTCTCTACTTCTTCCTTTGTGTTATATAGTTTGAAGCTATTTTTTCACAGTTCCAGCTTAACTGGCTCCTACTTAGCCAAGCAGAAGCTAAGCTCCTGATTTAGCATCTTGACTAGAAGTCGGTTTAAAAGTTATTCTTTCCTTAGCTATTTATGAGAGTAAGATTTAATTTTCTATTGGTCTTCTGATGTACTTAAATATTTTGTTGGAAATTGTTCTTCCACTATTTTTTTCTGTGTGTTATGAGAATGAGAGACAGAGAATATCGCCATTATTGCATAAGTAGGGATTTGTGGTAAATTAGCCTGCACAGTATCTCTATTTAGCATGTGATAATGGCATCATGAAGATGTTTTACAAGGCCTGTCCTCTGTCCTTTCTTTGGTATATAGAACAGAGGGTATTGTGAGATTTGCTCTTGGTTTTGGATTTACTTGCTTGATTAGGCTTAGCCTAATAACCTCTTTCCCTGCTTCCTTCTTCCAGTTCCCCACTGGAAGAAATGATCCTTCAGCAGATTTTTTTTATTCTTCAGCCTTGATAGCTCCTGTTCATCAGTCAGTCATGAAAAGGTTTAGCTAGGGCAGCAGAATTTATGCAATTTAAGGATGCTCAGCACTGTCCTATTTATCATGGCTGTGTGTTTTTATTGTGCTGCTGTCATGACAGTGCCAAACCACCTAGATTTTGAACAGTTTGCTTTTATTTGTGTAGCTTAAAACACATCTGGAAAACTTGAACCAAGTTTGAACTTGGTTTCTGATAATTGTTTATGAATGCAAAAGTCTTATTCCTGTCACCGTCTGCAAGTGACTCAGTAGGATATTTAGCAGCTTCACAAGCATGCAAGTAAGGATGTTGCAGCAAAAGTGAAAGACCAAAACCAGAAATATAGTGTGTGGCTCTTCATCATGGCTAGAGGGGGACAAAGAGTGAGGAAAATCAGAGTCAAAGAACTGATTAGAGACAAGTTTTCTTCTGGAATATGATGCTGAGATGCAACTTTGCTGAACTATTAGACATACTGAACTAGTATGTCTAGAGATTAGTTGTGAGAAACAGTAAACAGAAATGAAGACTATTTTGAATTTCAGATAATACTCACAAATTTTTTGGTATGAGAAAACTTTTTTCTCCCTGAATGAAGGATTTCTTCAGCCATTGAGGGTTTGATCTTCTGATCCTCCTGAAAGGCTAAAGATATGTTTTGTTTTCTATTGTTATCAGCATGACTTATCTCTCTGTTCTTTCGCTGCTACACATAGGACATGACTGAAGGTGCTAAATTGCTGGCACGGTGAGGTGCCTGTGCCAAAATGTAATTTGTAGAGCACAGTCATTCTGTGAAAAGTAATTCTTATTCATTTGCTTTCCTGGTCAGCTAGGGCTTTGAGAGGAAAATATATTATACAAAGTGAGATACTAGCAATTTTTGGGAAGAAACAAAGTGGGTTGATTCA